TTTTTTTTTTTTTTTGCTCCTTACAGCTCTCAGTAGAAAGTTTGCTCTAAAAAACAGTGGTCATCTAACTGTTTGGTGTAGCAAATAAAGCTGTCATTCTCCTACTGTTCTTTGATTCTGATTCTAGTGTCCTCGTAATTCTTCCCTTAATTTAAGTTTAGTTAGAATTTGACTGTACAAGTAGAAAGCTTGACCAATTTATTTAACACAGTCCGGCATTTTCTTATTCATGCTCTTTTTTTGGACCCAGAATTAGGTTAAGGTGTTTCTTCACTGATGCGATTGGGAAGCGAACTTAATCATTGACTGTTATTTGTCAAAAGTTCTCGTTTGCACTCGTACAGATTTACCTGTTTAGTCATTTTATCATACCTTTTAACAGTCATGGATAAATCTGGAATTGGCACAGCTTCTGGCACCACTTCTGAAAGTTCAAATATGAAGCTTAGCTCTGATCAGGAGATACAGGTAATCCTTATTTTAACAAGGATTTGAAATTAGTTGTTCATATATAATTATTTAAATATTTCTGCTTTACCGTGGGGATCAGTTCGTTTACATTTTTTTCCTAGAATTTAAAAGCGAGGCGACGATCTATCAGAGGAAGGCAGTCCATTGTTAATATTTCTCCGGATGAACCCGGTTTGTGTGAGGTAAACAAGGAATTTTTGTTAAATGGTTCAACTTTGGTAGCTTAATTTCAGAAGTGCTTTAATTGATTAAGAGTATTAATTGCATAATTTGATAAATATTGGATGAATGTTGGCAGAAGCAGGTTAAGTAGTTGCCTTGTTATCTTTTTTTTTTCTTTTTTGAGAAGACTGCAACTGTGAATTCAGTTAGTTCAAAAAATGAGGCTTGGGTCTTGGAGAAACATAGGCAAGCGATGGTTATGGCGGAAAATTTAAACTCTGGAGTTCTTCATTAAGCATTTTTGAAATATTTACATATTCTTAACTTGCAAAGATTTCTAGCATTCTAAATGGTTGATACTGATTCGTTCAAGCGAGAACTGTGTAGTTTTTTTTTTTTTTGACTTAAATCTTTATAAAAAAGTTTCTTATTCTAGGAATCATCCCCCCATTTTGACACACAAAGTTATGAGTCCCAAATCATGCAACGCATTGCCAGTATGAATCGTGAAGTACAAAGTCTCAATGCCTATGAAAAAAACCTTGATTTACAAATTCAGAAATGGGAAGAATTGAAGATGGAAAAAGAAGCAGCTATTTTAGAAGCAGAAAAGTTGCTTTTATTATTTTTACTGAAGCGTTAATTATCTGAAATTCTGAAGAGATCACTGTCAAATGAGAACTTTTTCTGCTTCTGACAAAACTTATAGATTTTTGGACGCCCCTATAGTTGTTTCGTCCAGGCGCAATGCTTTAATTTACGACAAATATGTTGGGCAGATAACAAAGGGTCGTTCTGCTTATGAAATATGTCAAGTCCTGTATAAAAAATTTACTAGTTGCGTGAGAACAAAGGTATGTTAGATAGCAATTTCTTAACTGAGTTATATTTCAAAAACTCAATCTTTTGCTGTTTAATTTTTAGCCTTTTTGTGATTATTTTTAGAGAGTTGACATGGAATTAGGAGATTCCACGAAATTAGAACAAGAAATGACAAAGATGGATATGCTTCGTAGGAACCGACTGAAGTTTTTGAAAATGTTTCAAGAAATTGGTCTGGAAAAGAAGATTGCCGAATTCACTGATATTATAGAAGAGGAAAGGAAGTGGTTTACCAAAAACAATTTGGGAGCCGAATTTACAAAAATTTGTGCAGAAAATGAGAGGCTGGTTGTATAATATTTTTTCGCTTGTTTATTTGTAGTCTTTTATTATTACCTGTTCTATTACGTAAACTGCAGCAGGTATGTATGTACTTTTGAGTCTCTGGGGTCTGATTTTAGCTACGTCGTGTTACTTCTATATTAAACATCTCATTTTTAATGTACCCTCACGACCTTACTTGTCATTATCCAATTTATTACTCAGTCTCGTTAAATTAGCTATACCTTAAGGTTCAAAGGATTAGAAAGGTAACGGGATATGAGACATTCCCTCGATTTCCATGATTTTTCAATTAGAGTGCCTCTAGTAACAACAAATATTTGCCTCAAGTAATTTTATTCTGTGAAGCGCACCTAGTTTTCGATGTTACTTTGTGAGACTGTTATAGTCTTGTTTAAATATCCTAGATTGTGAGGTAATTAGAGTAAGTTTTCTTTGAAAAAAGTACTACAAGACATTGCTGCGAAAAAAATATTACAGGGGCAGGTGTTTGCAGCAGGGTATCATTGAGGACATTGCAAATTTTTTTGATGGTGCTACTGGGGAAATCTAAGTATTTGTGAAAATAATATTTTGGACTCGAGCAGTCGTCTTAAACGTTGCCATCAGGTAGCTTAGTCGACGTGCTTACCTTTACACGTTTTTTTTTTTTTCCAAATTAATGAGCGCTTGTTTCAAACGGAGGCAGAGTTGATGACAGTGAAACAAAATTAAAGAACTGAGCAACTAGCCATGATGTGATCGGCTGTGTTAAAGTTACTGGTAATAACTAGGAAGCAAAAATTTTGTGAGGACAGGTCTTATAAAGTCAGAGATTCTCTTCACAATTCTCAAATCACTTCTTTTTAAAGGGGTTTTCAGTTGGGATCGTCCGCGACATTCATAAATCAAACTATTGCAGAGGATGAATAAGTTTATTGGAAACAGGTTAAATCTGATTACAGATCAAGATCCAGGTATTTGTTTTGAACTTCCGGTACCTGGTGCAACAACAGCACTTTTAATTTGGTCAACTGATTTTGATACTAGATTCGTATGGAGCATAGAGCAGGTTTTTAATTTTGTACATTTTGTGATGACTGAATTTGTAGTTCATATCTCGAAGAGACTGTAATGAAGTAATGGCCTAATGTACCACATAAAATGTGTAATCGAAGGTTTTAATGGGGAAATAAATTTGGACAGGACTCTACTGTTTTTACAGCTGCGAATGATCGGTATAAAGGAGACCAATTTTCTGTCAATATGGCACTACCGAGACCTTTAGTCGGAACAGCAGTTGGAAGAGATTAATACTTCCGAGGAATAGCGCAAGTGTGTAAATAGCCGCATATTTATTAATCTGATAGGATAATTCACAGTTAGCTGGTGATCATGAGTAAATTATCAATATCAATGTACCAAATTAAATCAATCAACCAATGTATCAATGTAAGTCAAATAATATAAGGGACCTGAAACTTATTTGGAGTACAGCTAGTAAGAGGTTGACAGCTTCACGCAGCGTCTTATTGTTTTCTTCGTCATCTTTTTGAAATCTATAGTTTCCAAAAACCCCTTAAAACTGTTACACCGATATGAGCTGATTAATGCCAATATTTCCATTTGCATGACTGAGAAATACTGCCAACAGTAATGGATGACAGTTTTGTAATTTGTGGTTGTTATTACCTTAGGTCCAGATTGTTCTTTTAGATGAAACAGTGAAGGCGGTTTCTGTCTTCGCGTCTTCGCTGAGATCACTTTTCGGGGTTAGAGAACAATCATTGCAAATGAACGCTCATCCAGATTGCCAAAAATGTTTTTGTGACGGTCCTCCTATTGTGAAATATCTTATACGATAACGATGAACTGAAGCATCTTTTCTTTAAAGTTATGGGTGAAAATGTTCTTGGTGGACCCGTAGAGTTTAGTGAATTCATCGTTATTATGGAACTCTTAATGCAGGGAACTGATGGTGAAAACTATAGGTCAATATGCCGAATAACTTCACTGCACGTTGTTTGATTGCGATAGAGTTGAGCGGGTTGGTGAAGAAATTGGACTAGCATCTATTTTTGAAAAATACGTTGTTATCAGAGACCGTATCAATTAGCGGTGTGTTTATTGCTGCTTCATCGGATGTTTCACTAAGGTTTTTAAGTGTACAGAAGGGCTTGGACCCTTCACTTTGAACATTCTGTGCTATACATGGACTAATCATGCGAGGTTTGCATTCCGATTAGGCTGCTCTAGTTGTTGACATAATTTTAGTAGAAATATTTCCTGTATTAATTCTGCGCCTAGATGGATTTCTTATAGAATTTTAGCTTAATTGCGATAGCCTTGGTCTAGGCAATAATTTTAGCCTGACAGCCGTCATTGTGCAACTAAAATATAGTTGATTATTAGATGAAACATGTAGTGAAGATTGGTGTGGTTGGAGCGCAAGTGGTAGCAGACATCGCTAAGGAGTACAATGGTACAATACTCAATTCGGGCACGAAAGGCCCGGAGGTCGATTGTCGTCTCAGCCCCTTGAATAGAAGTTGGAACTTCTCTTTTGCCTCGAGAAACGAAATGATATCAGTTTTAAAATGTATGCAATTATTAATGATACGGAGCAGTAGTGTTGTATTAACGCTGATTTACCGATAAATTTAGCAAGTCCCCTCAAAGATTTGTGAAATTTTTTTTAATAGCATAGTTCTTTTATTCCATCTAGCATTTTGTCGCGTTTTGAAGAATGATCCTGGCAGAGAACGCTGGTTAAAAAAGGTTTTGGGCAATTTTTTATGGTTTTACTGGTTTACTACACTGTTTGAAAGAAAATGTTTTGGTAAAAATAAAAGCGATTCTGT